AAAGCTCCCCTTTATGCATTTTATGTTTCAGTCAAACTATCTCACTTGTTCCTTACCCATGACATTCCATCTGCCACCTTTGTCTTTGCACAGTATTAAACCTCACCATCACCCACCCCCAGCCCCAATTCCTAGAATGCTCTCTCCCTTAAAATCTCTAGCCTCTTAAATTCAGCTCAAGTACCCTGACTTGCAGAAGGCCCTTCCTGATCCCCACAAGCTTCTAGTTTTATTTTATATATATTTTGAATTTACTTATAGGTGTACATATTATTTCCTCTGTTAGAATGTAGGGTCCTTGAGGGCAGAGAGTAGTTTCAGTTTTTGTGTCCACAGCACTTAGCATGGTTGCTTGGCATGTGGCAGGCACTTAATAAATGCTTGGGATTGACACAAGGCAAGTTTCAAGGTGGGTAAGTATCTGGGTTCCCTGGCTCATTCATGAATAGTAGGTGCTGAAAGGCCTAGAGGCTCAGAGAGCAGCTCTTGTGGTCTGATCCCAAATCCCCTGTGAAAGAGGGTTTACTTTCTCACTCTTGCTCTGCCTTGGGGTAGTCAGGTTTCCTGCTCCCCTTGTTCCCCGCCCCCCAAAACAAAAACAAAAAACAAAACAAAAGCTTCTGTCCTGAGCATGAATAAAATTCTTCCCTTTAATTTGTGGTTAGAGTAAAAAAGGTTTCCTGGCAAATTAAAAAAAAAATCAAACAAAACATTGTGGTGTATAGAATTCAAGGCTGTCACATTTAGGATGATGCAGAGGATTTTCAGTTAACTGTCTGACCGTGTCTCTGAAATTCTATTCTAGATCTTGACCTATTTCAAGAATCAGACTGGTGGTATCCTAGCAACCTCATCAGCCCAGAGAAGGCTGGTTCTTTCCTTAGGTGAAACTAATCTTATCGGTCTCACTGGTATCTCAGCCTCTTGCACAGGGTCCTTAAAGGCTGCTTTACACGTGGAAGCCTCTTTAGCCTGTGTTGTGGTTTCTTATCCTGCTTTCAAGACTTACATCCTCTACCTTTTTTGCTTCAAAGATAAGTTAGGTAAGTTCTGTCTTTCATTAAGGCCTGTGGCGATTTACCAGGGTCTTTGGGTTTCAACCTCGTAGAGCTAGAATGACTGACTGACAGATTCCCGCTTGGGTCCAATGAGCTGCATCGATAGGTTAGCTCATGAAATTGCCAGTTTCCTTCGGTTCATAGGAAGCTCATTCCGTTTGTTTCCCCTCCCTAAATGGTAATCCAAGGTTCTATTTTACAATACCAATTTACATATCACATACTTTAAACACTTGGTAATAAAACAGTCAGCCAATTTCCACCCGCAATAAGATAGTTCAATTCAACAACAAACATATATTATTGTGCTACGCAGTAGAGATAAAAAGGTGGAATAATAGACTCCTTGACATCAAAGGACATACAATCTAGCAGGTGAGAAAATCTAGGTGAGAAAAAAAAATGTGTATACAAACAATTATTATAGGAATTAGATTATAAACACATAGGAAAGAGCCAAATAAAGCATCAGAAACCAGCCATTCAAAGGCACAGAGATGGAATGTCATTTATGAGAAATCCAGCAGGCCATTTGATTAGATGGTAGAGTGGATGAAAGAGAATAATGTATACTATAATAATGATAATGTATGAAAGAGAATAAGGTATAATATAATAATAATAATGTATGAAAGAGAGTAATGTGTAATGAGTCAAGAAAGATAGGCTGGAGCCAGATTGTGAAGGACTTTAAAATGCCATACAGAAAGGTTGGTATTTTATCCTAGAGGCAAGAGAGAACTGGGGGCTTGAGTAGGGGAGTGATGTGGTTGGCCCTATAGTTCAGTAATAAAAGCTGCTGTGTTGATGTATTAGAGAGGAGAGAGACTGGAGATTGGGAAGCAAATTGCAGTAGTTCAGACAAGAGTTGTCTGGACTTCTCTCTTTGTATTTTATTGTTTTTGAGGCAATCAGGGTTAAGTCTTGCCCAGGGTCACACAGCTAGTAAGTGTCTGAGGCCGGATTTGAACTCGGGTCTTCCTGACTCCAGGACCAGTGCTCTATCCATTGCACCACCTAGCTGCCCTGGACTTCTCTTAAACTAGGGTGGTGGCCACATGAGTGGACAGAAGGGGATGAATGGGAGATATATTGTGGAGGCTAAAGAGAAAGGAGGAGAATGGGGAAAGCACTGTGGATCAGTGGAAAGGATGCTGTATTTGGAGTTCGAAGACCTGCATCTATGATCCTGTAATCCTATGACAAGGACTGTGCCCTCAACAAAAATAAGGTGAAACTAAATGCTGTGAAACAATGACCAAAGTTAGCCCTAAAGAAAGGGAGGTGTGCGTATGTATGTGTGTGTGTGTGTGTGTGTGTGTGTGTGTGTGAGAGAGAGACAGAGAGAGAGAGAAGGAAAGACAAAGTAGGGGAAGGGGAAAGTTAGAAGGGGGGGGGAAGCAGGGGCAGGGTACCATGGCTGTAGTGTCAAAATTGGTTTATGTGTTAGTTTAGTTGAACTGTTTTTCCTTTTTTTTTTTCCTTGGGTAGGATGGAAGGAATATTTTGGAAAATGTAAGTGATGCAAAACCAAAAGATAAACAGCAATTTAAAAAAAAACAAACAAAAATAAGGTAGTTTGGAAGAGGGGTTGGGTTTAGTGAAAGATATAATGAGTTTGGTTTTGGCTATGTTGGACAAATATCTCCCATCTGTCTCCTATCCACTCACATTTTAATATCCAGTTGGAGACATACAATTGTCCCCCAAATCTGAAATACACTCCCTTCTCACCCCTACCTCTTAGATTCACCTCCTTTAAAGCTCAGCCCAAGTACCACCTCCTCCAGGAAATCTATCCCAATCTCCCCAGCTGCCCTTCTCTTTAACAAACTGTATAGGCTTCTATATGTCTTGTCCAAGGCCACACTGGGATTTGGACTATTTCTACTACAACCCTACATTGTTTGGTATAGAGAAAGCCTGATTAGGGTGGGAGGGAGCAAGGTTGACTCCTCACTTCTTCAGTCTTGGACAACAGGACAAGGCAACATAGTTCAACATGAGCACTGAACTTGGAATCATAGAACCTAAGTTCTAAACCCAGCTCTGTCACATACTACTTTTGTGACCTTGGGCAATCAGTAAACATTACACATAGCCTTCCAGCTAGGGAAAGGACCTCAGATGCCATCTGGTCTAGTGGGAGGTCAAGTGGTCACATGGGTGATAAGCATCAGCCTCTGGCTCCAGAGCCAGAGCTCTTTCCACAGTACTATATTCAACCCCATCCTTTTACAAATGAGGAAACTGAGGCATAAAGAGGCATTAAGTCACACAGGGACATGACTGGTATTGTCTGTGACAGAATTTGAACTCAGGTCTTCTTGCCTCCAAGTCCAATGTCTGTCCACTACTCAGTGCTACCTCTATTAAATGTCTAGGGTGTGCTAGGTACTGAGGCCACAGAGACAAAAATGAAACAGTTTCTGGTCTCAATAACCTCTCAGGATTTCAGTTTCCTCATCTGCAAAAGGAGGGAGTTGGGCAAGATGTTGTTCAATCATGTCTCACTCTTTATTACCTCATTTGGGGTTTTTTTGGCAGAGATACTGAAGTGGTTTGCCATTTTCTTCTCCAGCTCATTTTACAGATGAGGAGCTGAGGGAGACAGGGTTAAGTGACTTGCCCAGGGTCACACAGCTAGCAAGTGTCTGAGGCTGGATTTGAACTCAGGAAGACTCATCTTCCTGACTCCAGACCAGAGCCCAGTCCACTGCACCACCTAGCTGCCCCAGGGCAAGATGACCTGAGTCCAAATCCTGCTTCAGAGACTTAATTGAGAAACCCTCAGCAAGGCACTAACCTCTCAGCTCCAGTTTCTGTCAAAGGAGGGGGTTGGAGTCAGCCTCTAAAGCCTCTTCCAGCTATAAGCCTGTAATTCTATGAAACCTCTAAAATCCTTTCCTGTGTTGTTGAAAGTAGACCTTGGAGCCCCTCCTTTTCTTACAGCCCCTCGAAGTTCACTCCTCTAACTCATGGGCCATGGAGTTTCTGCTGCCCTGCTCTCCTTGACGTGGTGTGGAGGGGCACTCCTCTCCCCCACCCCACCAACACCCAGCCCTCTAGCCTTCAACTCCTCCTGGAACTGAGGTGCTTGGCTGTTATTCATAGGACCTCCCCAAGAGACTAGGCCCTTCCTGACTCCATCCCATCCCTTGCTCAGCCCTGGTTCTGAGTCTTTTGATGGGAGGGCACAACAAAGCAGAGGGAAAGGAAATTAACAATTATGTAGCATCTACTACCTGCCAGGCACTGTGCTAGGCATACATATCTCATCAGATCTTCACAACAACTCTGTCGTGTAGGTGCTATTATTATCCCCATTTTACAGCTGAAGGACCTGAGGCAAACAGAGGTTAAGTGACTTGCCTAGTCACGCAGCTAGTCAGTACCTGAGGTCGGATTTGAACTCAAGGTCTTCCTGATTCCAGGCTCTGCTGCTCTATTCACAGCTGTGAAGGAGGAGGAAGAGAAGGAGAAAGGAAGAGATGAAAAGAGAGGAGAGGAAAAAAGGAAGAAGGGGAAGAAAGAGGAGAAACAGCAGGGGATAGGAATGAGGAGAAGGAAAAGGAGTGTTGGAGAGACAGTGTGGTCCAATGGAAGGAGGCCTGTATTTGGGGTCAAAGGACCCAGGTTCAAATCCCGCTTGTCAGGAGGAGGAGGAGGAGGAGGAGGAGGAGGAGGAGGAGGAGGTGCGGGACGGGAGCCCGCAGCCCTGCCCGGGCGCCTTTGTCCTCCCTCACTCTCGCCGTCTATGCTCATATTTGGAGTTGGCTGCTCTTGCCCAGGAATTTCCCGTCATGCCTCCCGACGCCCTGTCGCCCGCAGCCGGGGAGGGACAGACAGCGGGGAGCCCGGGCAAGGCCACGGCGGCGGCCTCCCTCTGCCCCGTCAGTCTGTCCATCTGTCAGTCCGGCGTCCATGCGCCCGCCGCCGCGCGCCCTCCGGCTCTGCCTCCAGCTCTGCTTCTGCCTGGCCGCGGCGGCTGCCCACCAGCCGGGTAAGTGCATCCCACCTCCCCACCCCCCCTTGGAAAGTTGGGGTTCGGGAAGGCGCGGCTCAATAAAGAGACAGACAGGACAGTGGCAGCTCCCCTCTGTCACCCCGGAGCCGGCCAGCCCCTGGCTGGGATCCCTCCCGGCTGCAATGACGCAGGGTCTGCGAGCGGGCCAGGGGGTGGGGACTTCGCCCCCTCCTCCATTCCCTTAGCCCCGGGGTCCCCGCCCCGGATTGGGAGAGGAAGCCCCCGGCAGAGCAGAGCTGGGGGGGCGGGCGCAGCCCACCTCTTGGGGAGGCCACTTAACACCGCCCTGAAATGCCAGGAGTAACGGGCCAGCTGAACCGGGTGGGAAGGACTGGTCCGCCTCCCATTCCGGGAGATGCGCCAGGACCCCGGGTGCAGGCGGGGTGTGATGCGGCCCAAAGAGAGCCAGAGAGGGAAGCCCCCTCTCATTTGGTCACTTCTGCCCCAGCTAACGCACCTTGTGCTTAGGAGTCCTCTCTGGGCAATAGTGAAAAGGCCACAGTGTAACGTAACCCCGAAGTTGCCTTTTTTTTTTTTTCCAAAAGAGGAAAAGTCACCTGAATATTTTCAGAGAGACTACTCTTACTGTCTGAACTCAGACTAATTGAATGAAAGGTGCTATTCATGGCTTTGACTTGGAGACTACAGGCTACTCTGTTTGGTGATTCTCAAATCCCAAATATTGGTGGTTTCGAAGAAGGATAGCTTTCTTCAAACCTTTTCTTCAAAATACTGAAGTGCTTTGAGTTTGGAGTCAAAAGAGCTAGGTTTGAATCCCACTTTGAAATTTACTACCCGTGTGGCCCTGGGCTAATCTCCTGGGGCCTCAGTTTCCTCCCCTATAACAGGTTGGATTAGATTGCCCCTGGGGTCCTTTCCAGTTCTCATCTCTGTTGCTATGATCACATAATTCACTACTGCTCATGAGAAGAGTTCTTCACTTTTTTGGGGTGTTCGATGGCGTCTTTTGGCAATCAGGGGAAGCCTGTGCCCCCCTTCTCAGAATAATGTTTTAAAAAGCATTAAATAAAATACATCCGATTACAAAAATAATATGAAATACACTTATTTAATTTTTTTTAAAATAAGATCATAGACTCCAGAGATTAAGAGCCCCTGGTTTAGAGGGACCAATGTCTCAGTTTATCAGGTGCAAACAAAACATGAAAGTATTTGTACTGTTTCCATGTACTTTCGTATTTGTTACAGGCAAACTATTAGTCATCAAAATAATTTGGCACTTAAATACAGAGCATTGAGAAAAGGAAACTTTTGTTCATAACAAAGTTTAGTTAATGGCATTTTATTTTTCCTTTTGTTGTTGTTAACTAGATTATCAAGATAAAGGGCTACTTCCACATTCATTCACTTGTTTTCCCTTTTAGAGCCCTTGTGAGGGCTAGGAGAAAGTATTAAAAAGTAGCTTTTTTAAAAAATAGAATGCTTTTTTGACAAACTAGAGAGAATTAAGTTTTTAAAATGTGTTTTAAGCTCATGCAGATTTTTGCTATATATGAATGTAACTAAACAGGCACAGAACTTATGTCAGAAAGAAAAACTTAATTTTTTAAATGTCGGCTTAAGCAACGACCACATCAAGTTTGAGTTTTTTTGTTTTTTGTTGTTGGTTTTTTTTTTTTTTTGCTTTCCAAAAAGATACCAGTCTTTTATATAATCCTTTTATAGTTTTGAGCACAAACGATGAGGCCCAAGAACTTTTCCACCTTTTATGGAAAGGGTTCTCAGGCTCTGGTTAAAGTAGCATGGACTGCCAGGGAAATAGTGTTGAGATTGTGTGCTTCAGTGACATGTTAATCGACTTAATGCTTCTAGTCCAATAGTATTAGAAGAAAGCATCCTGTTGACTGTGATTTTGAATGCAGTAGCAGACTTACTGCTTGAATTCCTTTAACATTTATTCACATGATTTTGGTCCCAGTTGACAGTTTAATTTTTGGTGACTTTTATTAGCGTCCTTACAGGCATTTTTTTTTTTTTTAAAGTTGAGCTGCAGCCTACTCTTTAAAGTCTTGTCACCATGCCTAGACCATTTGCCTGCCAAGGTTACAAGTGCCTGGCGTCATTTGAGGCTTGAATCAACACACACACTCTATTTTATAATTTAAAAAAAAAGGGGGTGTTTGTGCTAACATCCTAAAATACTAACCCCTACTTGAATTTGGAATAATCAATGTTATCCATAGTCCCAGAATTCTGCTAAAATTTAGTAACTAGAAAAAAAAAACCTAAAATTTTGTTGCATTTTGTTCCAAATGCCTTAATGATCAGGCTTATAGGAAAGCTATTAAATATTCCATTTATTGATGTAAAAGAAGATTGAAAGTAAATTAAAGAGAAACTAAACAAATATTACTTGTAGCTCTGCTCTAACTTGGTCCCTACCTTCAAAACTTGAGCTGTAGGAAGCTGTTGAGTTATCAGTGTCTATATCTCGTTATTTCTCCCTGTCCTGTCTTTCTCCCTGCTTCCTTTCAATTTTCTGGATCTAGATTCTTATTGGCAGTATACAATATAATCCCAACTAGTGCAGTCCCAATCAAACATGATGAGTTTGATTTTAGCTCTAGGGGGCTTAGATTAGCCTTAGCTACTAAAGGCCTTTTGAGGGTACAAGTACCTCCATGAAGCCAGGCAAGCAGGCAGGAAGATCTCCAAGTCACTGTTACTTCCTTCCCTTCGGTTAATAGTAAGTACTAGACTGTACAGTTTGTGTAAGGGTGATATAAAGTAAAAAGACTGGAAAAGTAGGAAGGCTCCAGGTTGGGAAAAGCTTTACATGCCAGACTCTGGCATCAAATATATTTGATTCTTTTTTTTTTTTTGGCTGGGCAATGGGGTTAAGTGACTTGCCCAGGGTCACACAACTAGTGTCTGAGGTCAGGTTTGAACTCAGGAAGATGAGTCTTCCTGATTCCAAGCCCAATGCTTTGTCCACTCCGCCACCTAGCAGCTGAGCACACCATAGTAGCTGCAAATAACAGTAATTTGAATGAACAATTGAAAAAAAAACACCTGAAGTTTCTAAATGCTGGCTGTTTCGGGTATAGTCAGAGGAGATGAGTGACTTCTCTCCTCCTCCCTCTCCTCTTTGGGATCAGAAGGGGAAACAGGAAGAAAATTATCAGAGAGGCAATGGGTGACAGGTAATAGCTTCTCCCATGTGACGTTCCTAGAAAAGAAAAAAAAAATCCAGGAAGGTGGTAGACTGGGCTTCAGTCATTTCATTGACCAGGTCTGCTAGTTCTATAGAATCGTGCTTGCACCCTCACCTGTACTCCTCCACCACTGATCTCTTCTGCCATATAACAGATATGTGACCCTAGCAAGTCAGCTAAGTGTGTAGTGCCCTGGTCAATTCTTGCTGATTATAAGACAGAGAGAAGATGCTGACCTTTGTTGGGAGGGGAGTTTCCTTAAATGAGAGTTCACTATAGCAGTGAAATCACTGTTTTTCCTTACCACACTCTTATGTGGTAGGTAATACTAGTATTATTTCTCCCAGTTTACTAGAGAGGAAACTGAAGGGAACATAAAATTAAGTGACTTACCTAAAGTGATGCACTGTATATCTCTTGCATTGTTTCCTCCGCTCTTTGCCGCCTTATTAGTTTAACCCCTTATTCATTGGATTACATTGTAATAGCCCTTACCTGGTTTTCCTCTTTCCGTCCTTGTTATTGCTATGCAAGTAATATTCTGAATGTACCACTACAACTACATTACTTTGCTCAAAATTTTTTAGTGGCTCCTTATTGCCCGATCAGATAAAATATAAACTCTTATCCTAGCACTCAAGGCCCTCCACAATGTAGCCCCACCTTGCCTTTCTAACCTTATCTCCTGCTGCTCTCCCTTCCTATATTTCTGTGTACTAACCAAACTAGACTCCACTCATCTGTCCCCCATTCTTGTCTCATCCTTTTTTCTACTCTCTCTGTACTTTTGTTCACAGTATCCCACATGCCTGGAATGAATAATCTTTCCCCTCTTGACCATCTCTGCCTTTTGAAACCATTGCCTTCAATGTCCACCTCGGGCATAGCCTCTTCCATGAAGTCCTTTTCTGCTCTCTCTCTACCCTGTACCATGAAATGTTTATGTGGACTACTTGTGCCAGACCTGGCTTCCAAGCTCATATTGGTCTGATCAGTCACAGTTGGACACACTACACTGTACCTTGACTGTAACATAGTAATGTCATTTTGGTCCTCTTTGAGAACAAAGGTCCCCAACCAACCAACCAACCAACCATGAAAATGATCTCTTCCTTAGATTTTTCATAGCACTTTGACCATATGTCGTTTTTGACCATATTCCATTTCCTCTTATTGCACAGTTATATGGGTAAATACATCTCTTTCCCCTCATTAGATGATAAGTTCAGGTAAGCTGGGATGGAGTGGGCAGGGCCCTTAGCCCCTTTTCTTGGTTCCTAGGATATGTTATAATGCCCCTGTTGCTCTACCCCAGGGCTGGGGTTGTGTCCCAACTCTCATTTTTTTTTTTTGGAAAATGGATCAGAGAGGAACAACTCTGACTATAGGAATGGTTCTCAGGTTGGGCAGCTGGTTTCTTTTCAGGACATCCATAGTTAAAGGGCCTTCTGGGAAAGGGTGGAAGGAGGATGGTGCCCTGGTTTCTCATTCTCATCCTAATCTCTCCCTGCCTAGTTACTTTTCTGAGAAATATTGGGGGAAGTCCAGATTAGATTTTAAAGTAATTTGCATTTTTCTATAATCCCTAATATGGCTTTTTTAACAAAATTTAGAGTGCTTTTCTTTTGAAATTCAGTCAAACTATTTCAAATCACTGCTTTGCATCATAAGACTGTAGATTGGTGGATGATAAATATTCCATGGACATGAGATTTTGGTTTATAATAAGTTATTACAAATAAAATCAAAACCGGTTTGGGCACATACAAATGTACATTCAAATACCATGCCAGTCCTAGA